TATAAGAGGTGTATATTTTTATTAGATATTGCTAATAATATAAAAAAAAAATAAAGATGCGTGCCACATTAAATTCCATATTACAGTATTATAGAAGATAAATTGGTTTTCGGATAAATTATTCATCTCTGCTATATTATACACAGTGTACCATTAATCTTATGAGATATTTCGACAACAGATTTTTCGACAAATATATTTGGCTTCTACTTTTACTATCGTAAATTTTATAAGACACCATTACTTATAGTATTCTTTTAACTCAATATTACGTAACTTGATCGCAAATTTCTAAATTTACATCTTATTATATAAACTTAAAAGTAACTTCAACACCTTTTTTTATGTAAAAAATCATTATTTTTACCACATAGAATTAAATTTCTTGTTATGTTACTTTGCAAAAATTTTTAATTTTAAAATATAAATATCTCTGGTGTGTATTTTTGAATCCGCTTTTCGAACGTGCCTTTATCAGTGAAAATTTATGTCTCCCGTTCAAACTTTTGATATCGGAATTATCCCTAGGAAAAGCATGAATTTTCGCTTCCTTTTCCGGAACACTCCCGCCTATATTCCACATTTATTTCAGCGATTATCATTTATTTCGTATTATCCTGACTCACATTCCATAGCTGTCTGCATACACCAATAGAACAAAATTTATGCTGTGTATGTGTGTGTGTGTGTGTGTGTGTGTGTGTGTGTGTGTGTGTGTGTGGGTGTCTATAAAGGAAAATATGAAAAAATTTAAAGCCCCGTACACATAATTCTTCTTTTATATCGACGGACAAAAACTATATTCGTGAGCTGCTATTTTTTATATTCGTTTACAGATTCAACGATACGAGCAGCGTCATCCGAAAGCTACAAATATCAGCAGTGAAATATCGTAACAACGCGTGACGGGAGATTGGCCAAGCTATTTGTCTGCTCTGCGTTATCGAAGGAACGAACCTATTTCACAAGCAATGGGATTATCAATGTACATTATTTATTTCTTGTATTATTGTCATTGATTACGCGACGAATCGCGATCGCGCTATGAGGCCTAATATATCGTATAAGAAACTTTTTATCTTTCCATGTCTTTTCTATGTTCATTTTTATGTATAAAATAAAAACCATGTATGTGCATCAACAAAGTCTGACAATGAATAGAAAAAGCAACCCACAGAGTTGTACGTTTGTACAAACCGCACGTCACTACGTATTGAAATTTAAATGACAAATGGATTTTCGAATTTGGAACCGATTTTTCTCTAATAGTTTTGTAATAATTTCTGCTGCGTATAAAAAAAAAGTTACAACAAATATTATTGAATAAAATGTTATTAATGGCTGCGTGTGCACATCAGTCCTGTTACCAGCGCGTCCTTTGGGTCAGCTATAATATATTATCCGATTTTGACATTTATTGGTCTAAATGCGACGATGGTATTGTCAGCACGAAATAAACGCCAGCAGTCGATTTTAATGCCGAATGTGCGGCAAAATACAAAAATACGAGCCTGTATATCTGCCTTTCAATCTTTTTATTCAGACGTAAAGTTGTTTACCGACATGTACCTACAGCGACCTATTTTCTATCGATCAACGAAAGATTATTTTTAAAGACATCTTTAACTATGTCAAGATCGATGCCAGCCTGTCAAGTTGGTCTGTAGCTGACAGGGTTATAGCCTCGGGCGAAAGTCGTAGGAAACATACGTGTGCGAGGTTAAGCATTTTGCATATTATTTATCAGATTGTTAGAATTGCGTGTGGACGCTCTACTTGCATTAAAGTTTCACAGACATTTACACCCGAGTCAGAATTGATTAGTCAAACCAACGTCAATTCGATGTCAAGCGGTAACACCGTGCAACAAAATTTTGGTCATGATCGCGCCTCATTTTGAAACCTATTCGGCTCACATTCTGGTGCCAAAAGAAACCCGAAAACGCCTTTCATTCCCCTAGGAAAATAGGATTCTGTCCAGGAGATCAAATTTATCATTTTTCTCACATTTCGCTACATTTCTGCCAAAAATACGATACGGCTAGTCTTGTACTGCCGGTTGAGGGTTTATTTCTAGTCAGGCTAGTAGCCAAGACCCAAACGAATCCAACAATGTACAGAAGTCGTGGTTTTTGGGCATAACGTACTGTTAAGGGGCCATTTTAAAAGAAAAAGTAGCTGCTTCCAGCGCCTGACGAACAGGCCGGGAATGTTCAAAAGTATGAGATGTGTGTTTTGTGATGACAATAAAAAACATTGGAAAACAAGTAACCATTTTACAGACTGCAAATATTAAATTGCGTTTAATTTTTGCATTTTAAACCAACTGTTAAAATGCAAAAATTAAACGCAATTTAATATTTGCAGTCTGTAAAATGGTTACTTGTTTTCCAATGTTTTTTGTTGTCATCACATCTCATACTTTTGAACATTCCCGGTCTGTTCGTCAGGCGCTGGAAGCAGCTACTTATTCTTTTAAAATGGCCCCTTAACAGTACGTTATACTCAAAAACCACGACTTCTGTACATTGTTGGATTCGTTTGGGTCTTGGCTACTAGCCTGACTAGAAATAGACCCTCAACCGGCAGTACAAGACTAGCCGTATCGTATTTTTGGCAGAAATGTAGCGAAATGTGAGAAAAATGATAAATTTGATCTCCTGGACAGAATCCTATTTTCCTAGGAGAATGAAAAGCGTTTTCGGGTTTCTTTTGGCACCAGAATGTGAGCCGAATAGGTTTCAAAATGAGGCGCGATCATGACCAAAATTTTGTTGCACAGTGTAATTGGCCGATATCGCATATTGGTTAATATTTTGGTCATTGTTTTACGTAAACATAATTGTTTTTATATTAACTAAGTAATTGTGAATATTTCTATAAGATTTCTGTGTCTTTCAACCAAATACTCTCCACATACGAATATTTTGCGCTCTCCGACTTCGCGTTGATTCGATGTAGAGTTAGATAAAAGACGATAAAGTCTCATAAAACAGTACGCAATTGCTAGATTAAAATTGTGTATATTATGTAATTATGATGATATCAGAAGTGAGAGAAAATAATATTAACCGGTATTTGATATTGACGATTTATCGACACATCATGTCGTTGATTTAACTAATTATTTCTGGCTGAAACGGGAAAGTAATGGCGCGTTCCAAGTATTATGTTTATTGACGGCATTGATATCGGTAAATTTTGATTACGATAACTAGTGCACTTTTAATTTGCACGATTTAAATTTTTATTGCAATGAAGCAAAGTGCATCGTTGGAAGTATAAATAGGAAATACGCGACAGCGAAGCGGTAAGATACTCGCCGAGATAAGTGGAGTAAAGAGGCATTAAGAGTGAGAAGGGTTCGAAGATTTCGCATAAATTACGAACAAAGTCAAGAGAAGTCAAGAAAAGAGAATCGAGAAAGCGGTAAAGATACGAAATTAGAGGTACGGAGATTTTTATCTTGCACTTTGATTTGTATATATTTTAAGAATTATTGCACCATTTAGAAATGAAGTTCTTCGTGGGTATTTTGTTAATATTTACAACGATGATGCTAATCTTAGCATCATCGATAGTCGCTCAGGAGGAAGAACGACATAACGATATCGTTCTAAAAAGTATTGTAGAGTTTCCTCGAAGAACAACTCCAATTCCATGTTCGGTAGGCCAGAAACTGGATTCCAGAGGAAAATGTCGCACGCCCGCATAATGACCGAGAGACACAGGTAGGTAACTGTTACTTTCAATGGATTTGGGCCTATTAAAACGAATTATCTTCGAAAATAGAGCATAGATTACAAACGTATGTAATTAAATCACGCGCAATCATACTCTAGATTCGTAATCAACGCGCAACAAATTTGTATGACATCTCCGGTGCGAATGTTTCTAATTTTACATTAATAGGATATTCCACGCATATTTCTATTCACTACATTCTCATAACTTTTCCTTAATAATCAGAGAATAAATATATTAAATTAGCTGTTTATTTAATACACTAATGAACGTAATGAACGTCGGTAGCTTTAAATGTTACAGCTTTAATTAACAATAGTCAACTAAATACATACGTTTAAATATTATTTTTCTATAAAATTATAGTAAATTAAGTAACATATAAAAATGTAAAAGAAATAATCATACCATTTTAATAAACTGCGAATTGAGCTTATAATATTATTTTAGAGTTTGTTTAAAGTGCAAATTTTGTATCTCTGAAAATTATACATTCCAGCTTTTGACAGATTCCTTCCCAAAGTACATGTGTATTTTATGTCTATTTGCAGGTTCATGGATATCAACATTTCAGCAATATCAGCTAAAAGCTAAAAGCGAGACCGTAGAAAATGTCGTAGCAACGACAGAAGGATGAAAATATTCTGTATTTTGTATCCGCAGGATTTCAATAAATTCACATTGTTAATTTTAACAGCCTCACACGTTGTAAATTATGCGCGCATATAGTTGATTAAGATATCTGACAGCATTATTAGGATCGCATGAATTCTGTGCGTTCCTCAGCCTAAAATTTGTTGTGTTATGCAAGAAATTAAATTATATTATCTCATAACGCATTAGTTCGCAGATGTTGAAGGCAAAATTGAAAAATTAAAAAGGAATACAGTTAGTCAAGCATGAGAGCACAGAATGAGTTATCTTGCTTCATTATATATTCTTTCACATGATTTTTCCTCGTATAATTTTAACTTTTCTAGATGCCAATTTTATCTTTCAAAAAGTCGCATCTATTTGATAGTAAAATTTAATCTCATCTAGAGAATATCTCTAAACATCCAGTACACACACGCACGCTGCAAAAAATATTAGATGCTTATATATTTTCACATTTCAGCTTCCATTTATATTCATTTGTCGATTTGTATGCCGGATCGTGGCGAGCTTTGTCTCGCGACCATTGTAGGCTGCACATACTTGACACACATCGTGATTCACGGATCTCAAAAGATGAGAGAGAGAGAGGGGGGGGAGGGAGAAAATTGAAGAAAAATAAACTTCTTTAAATATGCATTTGCTAAAATAAAGATAAACGGATCGATTAAATTGGTTATTTAATTTTTATAAAACACAATAACTAAACTTCTATAGCAAACCTTATCACACTTCAATTGTTTACATATCAATACATATAGGCTGCGGTCAAGCTGTCGCTTCAAATGTTACGGAGTATTCTTCTTCTCTTTTCTTTTAGTAAAGATAGAAAGAGAGGAGAAACGCTTCGAAGCGTTTGCAGCGGCAGCTTGACCATGGCCATAGTGGCTTATAGATAATTATCAACACATTCAGTGTAATCCTCCAACAATAAGTATGATTCTATCATTTAATAAAACGCAATTTCTGAGTTTGAAATATACATGGATAATTATTTGACCTTCGTTTGTGACGCCAAGTTCTGTCTCTGTAACTTCTTGTTTTAGTAAAGGAGGATATACTGGTCCATAACCGGTTCTTTCAGAAAATGATAATGAAGCCTGCGCAATAAGGAAGAACAGGATTATAAATAGCGGAGAGACGTACAGGAAAGGAATAATATTGCGAGTTTGTTTGTCGAAAGGATAAAGTGTGTGCCAAAGATCCGAATTGCAGTGAGTAAATTGGTAAAAAGGTCGAAAACAATATGTCACGGAAAAATAAAGAGAGGAACGAAACGGAAAGCTCTCTATAAAGTTGTTTTATATTTTATATACAAAAAGATAAATAGAGAATATTCCAAAAAGTTGTGAAGGCTCCCAATTGTGGCTCACATTGGCACTCTTCCCTTTCTACATAATAAATAGAGAAATTAAAGATGTACAAAGTTCAGCGCATCCGAGTATTTAAGCATTCGATGAGATCTTAATAAGACATTTCGAGAAACTTAGAAGAATAGAAAAGATGGAAGATTACCATCAAACTTATTCGTAAAAATAAAGGAACGGATAAACGACATATGACATTTAATTTTGTATCCTTCAGGTCACGTGGAATATTAAAATTTTCGTAGCACGATGAAAATATTCCTGAACGTTTCGCTGGCCATCATGCTAATGATGGCCATAGTGATATCACTAGGAGCATGTATGTCCACAACTGAACGTATTAAAGCAGGCAACAACGTCGTCATTCAACCAACTGCTTTCATAGACACTCCTCTAAGACCAACTTGCCCACAGGGGCAGAAAAAAGTTAACGGGAAGTGCCGGAGGCTGGTATAGGAAGACATGCAAGTAACTATCAATTTAATATTTCAAGCCCATTTCCTAACAGAGAGGCGGCATAAGCCTCTGAACATAATCACGCCAACATTTTCAGTAACATAATGCAAAGCTGTGAGAAACAAACAGATTATATGCGAATACCGTTCAAGCTGTTAGGAAAACAAATTTCAACAGCTAAAGTTATTAAACGTAGAAATGTTAAAGTAACGCTAGTACATTAGCTTAAGCCACTGAACGCTATTTGAATAAATTTTTACATTCTCTTGCTTCATTTTATATTCTGTTTAATATTTTACATATTCTAATGTTTATAATAGATAATAAAAATAGTAGTTTCGATATAGAACTTTATTAAGAAAAATTGTCAACAGTTGAAATGTATATTATAATATCATTATATATTATTATATATAAATATTATAAGGATTAATAATTTTAAAAATTACCATCAGAAATTCCAATATCTCTTTACATTCATATTTTATATATTTTTGATTTCTATATTTTTTTACAGGTTGCCAACGTCTTTTATAATTGTAACCTTGCGAAATAATCCAATGTAGGTGATGAGAAACTGTATGTAAGACAGAAATATATATATATATACAAAAATATATAAAACAATATATGCAGGAATATACATACATAATATAGATTTTTTAAATATATCAATTTTTATGCTAATATTAGATGCGTTATTTTGTAAATTCTTTATATTATAATTAATAAATTAATTCAATTTATTAATCCAATCTTTAGAAAATGTTTTTCTCTTCAATCCGACTTAATCATTTTTTTTAATAATTGACAAAGAAAAACTTTTAAAACATTCCGAGAAGTCCGTACCAATTCACATATTTAACCTTTGATTCGTATCTTAGCAATTATAATTTGTTGTCAATTTAAAAGAGGGTAGAATGATTTATAAAACCAGTTTGTAACCAGTTTTTTTTATATAGTGGTAATAAAATTTGTAAATAAGAAAGAATATGGAATATATATAACGAGCACTGAAGACAGAAATAACAATACGAATTAACCTGCCGAAACGATCGGGTGCGGCAACAAATCGAATTTTCTGAAGAAATTGTGGTAAGATTGGTAATTGTGGTCATTGTGGTAAATGACGAAGAAATTAGAACAAAGACAAAGGAAGAGAGGAAAAAAAGGAGAAGAGTGTCTTTATTTCAAAGGATCGAAATAAATGAAAAGCTAAAACAATAAAGTCATAAAGTTCTAAACATTTAAACAACTACGTGCGATAATTAGGAGATACAAAAATACTTATAACACGTATAAAAAAGCATTAATAAAATGAGGAATTTATAAAATAAGAACTCTAAAATTTCGACAGAATAAGAAATTAAACAAGAATTATATTTAAAATTGAATTCTCTTTTTTTAGATCACAAAGGAAAAATTGGCAGCATGATGAAAGCATCTCTTAATGTTTTCTTGATAATCGCGATAATAGCAGCTATTGTGATACCACTGGGAACATGTAAACCAGCTACATCCGGATATCCACACACTGACTACACTAACATAACTGAGCATGAGACTAAAGAAGCGTCATCAGGTATTGGAACTAATACCAGCTATCCTCTCCATCGTCATTTCATAAACCTTCCGTCGAGGACTTTGAAACTTGATTGTCCTTCTGGACAGAAACGCAATTCTCGCGGAGTATGTCGCAAGTTGTTGTAATGATGACAGCAGTTTCCAGGTAATTACAACCAACTTAACATTTCGAAACTTATTTCCAATTGTGACAAGAATAGCACAGAACTACAAATATGGTTTCCCTCGCGTCAATCAAATGAAATTTCATGCAAACTACGAGCAAATTCTGTGGCCGAATATTATTCAAGTTGCTACGAAAATTAATTTCAGTGATAGAAATTATATATAAACATATTAAAATTGAATTAAATCATTAAATATATAATGTTTTACATTCTTTACTTTCCTCTATATTCATTTTAATATTCTAAGCATTACATATTCAATGAAAACGAATAAGGTTTTATAATATATTATTTACCGAGAAAAATTATTAAATATCAAGGTATATATTAAAGAAATATATTCTAGCATTTTTTAACATTTATATTTTATATTTTATATGTATATTTTCCTTTGATATTGTATATCTTTTTTTACAGATTCAAGATTATTAACGACTTTTATAGACTTTCTAAGCTTGCGGAATAATCTTATGTAGGCGATGGACCAATTTAAGACAATAATATACAAGCTACTACAATAAATTATAAAAAAATATATTGTTGTTAATATTAGATGTTGCGTTGTTTTGTAAATCCCTTATATAATAAATTTCCTTGCCTTTATTATAATAAATAATTCAATTCAATTTTGGAATCTAGTCTCCCTGTTTTTTTCTTTAATAACTATGGTGTAATTATTTTTTATAATTGACAAATGGTTTTTAAAATATTCGAAATATATGGAAGTCCTTACCTAATTAATGTATTTATCCTTCAATTCGTACCTCAACAATTATCATGTTTTGTTAATTTAAAAGAAAATATGTTGATTCATAATACTTGTTCATAAGTAATTTTTCTTATGTAACGGTAATAAAATTTGTATAAAAAAAGAAAAATGTGCAATATAATGAGTATTGAAGAGAAAAATAGCAATATGGATAATCTGTCGAAACAATCATGTACAAGTGGCATATCGCATTTTGTATTGGTTGTAAACGATGAAGAAATTAAAAACAGAGAGAGAGAGAGAGAGAGAGAGAGAGAGAGAGAGAGAGAGAGAGAATAGAAAAGAATTCTTATTTCCGTGACTCTAAGTAAAAAAAGCTCAAGTTATTATAAAATCCTGAACATAAATAAATAATCACGTACATACTACAAACATATCGCTATTCCGATTCAAATGGCGTGCCAAGTTAAAAAATAAAAAACAATATGTACTACAAAAGAAGAAATATCAGCAATGTTAATGTCTTTTATGTTAATTGTTGCGTTATATTGTGGATTCTTTCATTTATACTGTTGATTTTTTCATCAATAAAAGTATTAATGCCACGATCTTCCAATTCTTGTGTTACTGTATGATCCACAATAAATAAATTAACCATTAAAATGTATGTATCTCAGGAATTATTTAATTTAAATAGCATTACGTGATGTAAAATTGACGTTTATTACTAACGTTATGACCCATCAATGTAATTGCATTTGATCGTGGAATTTCTACTTTACATCAAGAACGTAGTTCACGTAGTCTCAGATAAGAGCGTGAAACGGTAATAACGCGGCATTGGACAGGAGCATATTCACATATTTACCTCAACTTCAATAATCGTTTAACAAAGACAAAAAAACCTCGACATTAACAACTCCGTTCAAAGATATAATTCCATTTTTGAACAATACCTTTGCAGAACAATGCTTATCAAAAACTATACATTCTAGCTCGCAACAGATTCCTTCCAGAAATATGAAACGCGTCTTTAATGTCTGCTTGCAAATATTTGCAGAAACTCAGCTTTTCAGGTATGTCAGTTGAAAGCTATATGCGATACGAAGTTTCAAAATGTCATAGCAACAGTGTATTATATATAGTAGCAAAATAGCACACAGATATATTTCTACAATATGAATATTCTGTCTATTAATAAAATTTCGATAGTTTCATATATTATACATTGTACTTTATAAGCTTAATTATTTCGATATGTACACTTATCCTGCAACTTGCGCGATACTTTTTATATGCGATTTTTCGTGCGGTATAAAAATCCCTCTGTATACACAGAAAACGAAATTAAAATTAAATAATAAGCCGGAGAAGCATGGTGTTATACTAGCCTTAGTACGTACATCATAATATATAGGGTTTTTTCTTACGTTTTTTTTTTGTACTGACAGATTCCATTTATGCGATTTCCCAACCACATGAAAAACTACGTGAAACAAATACTCCGCGTAAATCGAGGGACGAGTGTATATTCAATGTATTATTGAGCTTGTCAGCTTGTACACAAAATATGCGCTAGTTTATAATCAGTTTTTCCATTACGTTAATGGAATTCGTATAATCAGGAGAACATGAAGTTATAAATAGTAGATGCGCAGTAAAAAGAGTGACAATGTGTGTGCTTATTTCCGAAGGTATAAAGTCGGCAAAGCTGCGCTATAAGAAAAACCGAAGGAATTCTTGCAAGTTTACAGACGACAAAAAAATTGTAAAGCGGAAATATTATGAAGAAATAAAAGGAAAACTGTTGTTCGAAGAATATGAGAATGTTAGCAGAAATTTCAAGATAAATTTTAAAGAGAAAGATACATAATGGAGCTACGAAGAGAAGTTGTGAGTCATCATTATAAAACAGAACGTATTCCAGGGAAATACCGTTACGTACTTCCGCCGTAATTTTTATGTCTGACGTACGTATAAAGTATCGCCTGCCAATACGAAATGAGATTACCGTATCTAATGCTAAATGCGCGAATTGACAGAAGGTTATCATATATTTTTCTCATATTTGTTTTCTCCTTACATCTCAAATGTGCATTTTCACTATTTATTCGGTATCAATGTATCAATCATAATTTTTACTGTCATCTCATGTAACAACATTGATAACTAGTTTTTATACATTAGTCTTTATATATGATAGCCACAACCTCTAGATTCTGTAAAGGTGATCGTGGAAACTTCAAGTTTGCAAATAATCGCCGCTTGAAAATGAAATTATTCATGAATATTCTGCTAGTAATTACGGTATTAATGGCCATTACGATTCTACCTGGAGCTTGTCAAGAAACATTTCCCGTTCAACATCATAATATGATGATAGCCTTTCCGATTAGACACAAACTGAGGTGCCCGTCTGGCCAAAGGGAATATCAGGGTAGATGTCGCAGGGTCGTTTAACACGCAAAGAGGTATTTATTGTGCAACATAAATATAAAAATATGAGATCAGAAAAAGATCGTACATTCTACATACATCTATCGTACTTTTCTTACTTTCAACTTTGCTGCACTTTTTATATCTAAATGTGATGATTTCACGCGCAGTTTTATTCCTTGTCATTTATTTTATAATTTATATTACGAGTGTTCTTTTTAACGAGGGGCCATTCTACGTTTTATGTATTTTTGACATAACAAGAAATACTGAATTGACACTTATACTTGTAGATAAATTTTTATAGCAATCGTTTCTTGATTCTCAAAAAAGCTGGACACTCATTAACAACCAGTTCTCTTCGCAGCGAAAAGGATTACGTAACCGAGAGAATATAAATATACGACTCGCGATGAAGAAATAAGTAGAGTTCATTTGTATATACTAGCACAATAGCAGTTAAATTTGTGTCAAACAAACCAAATTTGGAGACAATAGAATATAAACGAGGATTCATGAACATTTTATATATTATATTATAATTACGACAAAAAGTTGCGAAATTAATCTTCGAAATCTTTTTATTGTTTCCCGAGTTTTGTAATATTGTTTGAAACTGAGATTTTTCTTAAGTAGCTACTAATAAGTACGGTATTGACGACTAGTCTGATTGTATCTGGAGCTGGTCAAAAGAACGCAGCCGAAACATCGCATCCTATCATTCAACACGGTGTCATAGATACTCCACTTAGAAACCTATGTCCGAAAGGCCAACGAGAAGATGGTGAAAAATGTCGTCAAATTGTTTCGAACGAATCAAAAACGGAAACTTGAGTATAGGATATTAAAAAATGTATACACATTTCATGTCTCCATCAATATTTTGGATTCATCTTCATGTTTAAGTGTAGTTATTTCGCGAATCTATTTGGTACGTTTTATCAAGACACGCGGTAACGCCTCGTTTCAAATACATATAGCGACGCGACAATTCTCCGCGCGAGAGAGATGTTATTGCGTATCTTTTCCATACTGACAGGCTTTTTGGGACATATTTGCCACGCGTTACAGCTATACCCCATCAATAATCCTATTTTCCAAATATCTCCTGACGAAAGGTTGATACTCAACATAAATAACTAAATCTTTTTAGCGGTTTATCGTTTCTGTGGAATTTTGTTAATAAGTTTTTTAAACTTATTACATACGGCAGAAAAAGATTTGTGTAATCTCTTAAAGAAATATAAATATTATTGTTCAGAATGTAAAAAGGCAAATGCGGGCCTATCTCTTCTTATTTGCATTTGTTCCCCATTTGTATATAAGTCTGAGGATTCCGCGGAATATGTTTATTCAGTATGTTTTATATATATCTTAATTATGCGTCACAAGTATCTTCCTCTATTTTTCCTCAACCACATTTGTAGCACATCGTGCTAATTAATACTTCTTATGCAGATATAAATTTTTACGAATGTCGTAGTTAGTGGTCGCCATGCAGCATTTTAATTCTACGAAACGATCTTCGAATTTCATTAATAACCAGTTCAACTCATAACAAAACAAGCCTCGAAGAGAGAATATAAATATCGGTCTTGCAAGGGGCACGTCGCAGTTAGTTTGCTAGGACCTAAGACAGTAATCTGTGAGTCAAAAGGAAAGGTATATAGCAACTAAAAATAAATAAAAGCTAAAAAGTAAGAGAAAAATCTGACGAAAAACTCGAAAAGGTGAGATACCTATTGTAAAAAGGAATTAAGAGCATTATATATCTTAGTAGAAAAGAGAATGAAAAGAATGAAAAAAATAAGATATTGGAAGTATACGTAAGAATATTTCAGAAATTCGATTGCTCGAACCTTTTATCATTTCCTGGAACTTGCAATGTTGCAGAAAAATGAAATTTCTTATGAGGATGTTATTGCTGATAATTGTAATATTGGCAGTTGTAATTCCATCTAAAACTTGTAAGAACCGTGCATGCCATCAGGGTCATATTATAAGCCTTCCGTATAGACGCCGTCCTTGCCCGAATGGTTATCGAAGAGATAAGTACGATAATTGTCGCCGATTCCGTTAGCAAACGAAAGTGTAAGGTAATTATTAAAAATATAAGAAGTGATATATAAACATCTAGCGATAAACGAAATTATCATCTAGTTATACACTTTTCCTTTATTTTTACGTTTAACCTTAAATGTTTCGGACTCAGTTTCTTTATTACATTAAATCTTTTTTTATTAAATACACTGTACTACATGAGAGGAACCATATTTACAAGAAATAAATGACATTGGACTGACAGTATTAAATTCAAAGTAACTACTACATGTATGCAGTAACTGCCATGTACAAATTTAATAAGTGAGTGGAGTCTGAAAGACTGCGCGAATAATTGAAGATTAAACATAGACCGGTATTCATAGTCAGATGTTATACTCAAGACCGTCTTGAATTTATCTAAAGATGCTGTATGGAACATTTTATTGGCTACGGAGTATCTAAAGATGATCTTAAGACAGTCTTGAATATAAGATCTGACTATGAATACCGGTCATAGTTTCCTTGTGGATCAGCATATAAATATCTTTTGTTATATTGTATTTGTCATTTTTCATGTATATGGAGATGTTATTCTATTTCGTCAAATATCTCATAGCACGTCAAAGTTAATTATTATGCAAACCTGTTGTAAATATGTAAACCTTTCTTTTTAGAAACGCCTACAGTTTTGCCTATTCAAATAGTCATGAGATTCCGTTAGGAACCAGTTTTTTTTTCCAATCGAAGATATATAAATAACAGATTCTCAAGAGGCAGACTGTACAGTTCGTTTACTTACTGAAACCACGCGGTCGAAATAACGTAAAAGAAAAATTGATAAAAGTTTGATAAAATTAACGAAAGATAAATAGAAAGGTAATTGAGAAAGAATTTCAAGCGAGTGTAATATTTATAGAGAGGAAAATTAAAAACTTGAAATAATCGGAAGAAATTTAGAAAAAAGATCACAAACAATACTTGAATTTTGACTTTATGACTTCTCTATTATTTGTGAAATCTGGTTTTGCAGCGTCATTTGAAAATGAAATTATTCGTGAATATTTTGCTGATAATCGTGATACTGGCGGTTGTTGCGATTCCACCCCGAACTTGTCAAGAAGAAACATCGACAAATAAAACATCGACGGATGAAACATTGACGGATGAAACTTCGACGAACGAAACGTTGACGAATGAATGGTTAAACCCAGAGAGTATTATAGTTTTTCCAAATAGAAATGTCGCTACTGCTTGTTTGGAGGGTCAGGAGAAAGATAAACGTGGAAGATGTCGCTATGCCGGTTAACATAGTACCAGGTAATTGCTAATTTTAAATTAAATTCATTTCTATTTACGTAAGATGTTTAGCAATGCAGCGAACAATACAATTTTTTTTTAAATTACACCTTTCTGTCAAAATTACACAATATTACATTGATTTTTTTCTATCAGTATATAGTTTTTTCGTAGCCTTTTTCAATAATAAATATCTTATAATTCAAGTGAAAATTCTTTTAAAATATAACTGAAGAATTTGTTACACGTATACAAAATAGTTTTAATCATTAGAATTTAAAACTATTCGTGTTCCAATATCTTTAGCAAAGAAAATGATTTCAATTCTCGACAAGAAAAAGCTCGCGTGCGCATATTGTTAAACACCTCATGTAGCGTACAATTTCAAGTTAAATCTAATAATGTCAGGACATTTTATAACACAAGTTCTAAATAATGAAAAGGATCGGGAAAAAAGAAGTTTCTTCTTTGGAGACTGATAAACTCTTTGCAGTCTTTCTTCTTGCGAACTGTTTCCAACGTTTCTACAAAAGATAGCAAACTCGGAAAATGCGTAACTTACTGATATATTATCCCTGTTTTATTTGAGTTCAACCCGACGCAGGAAAACCAACTGAAAGTTGCACAAAGAAAATATTTCTACATTCCCATGATAGCGACAATTCAAAAAACGTAACAATAGTCTATGCATTCCGCAATGACGATTACACGTTTACTCTTCTAGCTACGAATTAAGGGGTAAATACTGGAAAGAACCTCATTTATATTAAACGCACTTAGCAATTCTTTTGTATTGGAACGAGCCGGGAATCAACTGCCGAGAAATCCTCAAGGAAGTATGACGCTGCTCGGGATTTTTTTATTTATTTTTCCCCCCCATTGGATACTCCAACTATTTTCGTATTCACGTGCAAAAGTTCCTATAGTTTGACGAAGTTTAACGATTTCAAATGAACGCACGAAGGAATGGGAGCGATTCTACGCTGTGGGGTTGGCTGGACGGTAGATCTTTGGAAAACTTCCGCTAGTTACGACAGTTTGTTGGCGAGCAACTTCGTTGCTAATATCGACAAGGTTGCGTCCGAGCGAGTTGGCAACTTTAGTGTAACTTTCCACCGTCCGTTCTACCCACTCACTTGTTGCCCCCCTTGTACGCACGCGGGGGCAAGCAAGAGAGCGATGGGCAAGCTATCATTAGCTCCGCATAATGCGACTATGCGGTTGTCCCTTTTGTGCTCTCTCTCTCTCTCTCTCTCTCTCTCTCTCTCTCTCTCTCTCTCTCTCTCTCTCTCTCTCCCCCCCCTCTCTCTGTCTCTCTTTCACTCTCGGCTCGTGCCGCACACAGATTCATCGATTCTCTCAAAGGGAAACCAGATCGTGAACTCCCTGTATTTCGCTGTCACGAAGTGACATAACTCTTCTTGCTGGCTGAGCCAGTGAATATCCAGGCGCCAGTCAACACGATCTCTAAATACCTAGTCCTGTACTCACATTAGCCCCATCGCGCTTTCGCGACGCCAATTGGTTTGACTTTCAACAATTTTGATCGTCGTCATAATCATTTATAATTGTATAGCATTAAAAATACTATATAAATATTCGCTATATAGTATTAAAAATTGCATTATTTTAATTGCATTATATTATAGCTATTATTTTCACAGACGCTAATATCAATGCGTAGTTATTTTGTTAGTTTTTAATATTTTCCTTCCGTCGAGAGAGATTTTACAAAGCGTGTTTTTCCCGCACAAAGTTAATTCTCAAAGAATTCGAGTTTGATTGATCACAAATTTAATTTTTCTTAATAATGTTATCATAATTATGTCTTGCGCTTGAGAGTAAAGAATTTTTGCGATATTAGGCAGGGAGAGAAAAAGAGAATAGGAAGATGGAGAATTCATAAGGCGCTTTTCTTTAGAAAGTGCACTTTTATAGGAGAAAAGACGTAAGCTTCTCTACTTCTTTATCAACTATAAGTACAATGCGTCGCGATACATATACCGGAATAATAAATATAACAATAAACTGATTCGATGGTACAGCACATTCTTCAAACTCTGCATTGATGAATAAAATATGAATAAAATATCAATATTGGATAAGCGATATACGCAAAGTATTTCGATAAAGCTTCATTTCTGTTTTCTGCTTATAACGGTTTTTTCATATATTATGAAAAACTGTTCTTCCCTGTTTCTTTCCTCGATAAATATGTAATCCTTCCTCGTGGGAAATGCGTCACGTTTGTTTTCACCAACAGCCGTGAAATAAGCAATATAGAATTTACGTTTAGAATGGCGACTCTCTCTTGTTACATTAATTCACATTATTTATTCACGATAAAATCCATCTCAAAGTCAATTAAAAAGAGCGTTTTGTTCAAGACGTTCAAGTTTTGTTATTTTTAGAAATAGCTTTTAAACACGGAATAATTGCTTTTTCGAGGGAACATTGACTTCAAGTTTACTTAAGAAACCGTAATCGAGAATGTCAAGGTACTCAATATCTAGGTAGTTGGTTTGAAACAACCTATAAGTATATATATCTTGCAATCCCCCTCGAGAACTTGTTTAAAATATTGGATATCGCTAGATTTTCTTCATTTATCCTATTTTTCTTTTCTTTCCTTTTAGATTCATTAACGAAAAAGACACCGCTATTGTGAAGCGCGCTCGAGAAATGATATCTTTATAATTTTTGCGGGAAAGTGGAACATCGAGGAACGCGTAACTGAATATTATCCGATCCTTAAATTGAGAGCGTCATTAAAAAAAATTCAACGTGAATATTATACGATCCTTCATATTACTTTTCTCCTTTTACATTTCGACGGTTTTACTACGCAAATGGTACCAATCTACTGATCAAATTTACGTCGTAATTACGATCAAATTGACACATTGGACTTATATAACCTGTTTCCGAATCGTTTTCGCAGAAACGATCGAAAGAATTGTGATACTTTTGCAATTAAGGTGAGACGCGAATCGCTATGAGAGAAAGGAAATTCATAGAAACTAAATTTGCACGTAATCAAATTGAGGAAGGAAAAATATTAATTACTGTTGTTACAGTTAATTATTTCTTTCGCTGTACGATGTAATTTCAGCGTCCTGAGGAAAAAGTACTTTACTTGTATTAAATAAATCTTGTAATTTGCTGCATGGTTCTTTATCTCATTGTCAGCGTAAATTTACCGTCGAAAGAATTCACTATATTTTCCCCGCAGTGTTACGATTTAACGAAAATATTGCACGTTATCGCATTCCAGAATCCTCCAACTCCATGAAACCTTTGACACTTGAATTTTCGGATTCTTGAAATTCTTCCAAGTTTCTTGAGATCCTCGTGCATTTTCCGAGGTTTTCCAATTCAAAGACTCCGAGATTCCAATACTATCGCGGAACGAAGATGACGGTACAATTTCTCAAGTGGCGCGGGCCCCTTAATTTGCGAATACGAACGCGTGTACGTTCATAATGTAAGTGCCACTTACATTACGCAGCGTTCTCTCAGATTTTCGTCTATGTTCAATCTTTCAATACGGCGTAGTTAGAGATGGATGAGTTGCCGTAATATTTCGATAATAGAACCGACCGTATTCCGCCGTATTCCAATAATGAAAATTCGAAATTTACTCATTACGTTCAATCTGATGTTTATATCATGTAAATGCAGATTCCCGTTAATATATTTTATTCGAGCATTTTCGAACGACAGATTAAAGCATTGGGAATTTTTCATTATGTTTCGGCACGTAAACAAATTCGATTTCGACGTCGCATGTAATTAAAATTTGGACTCGTTTATTATGCGAGAATACGAGACACGAATAAGCGACAGAATGCAAATGCGTCGTACTAACGTACAAGAGAATTACGCGAAACGTTAGATATTCCGGAGTTGCCAACAAGGGAACCGAGTTAGTCGCACGCTTGACGTGACGAAAAGAATCCGCACTCACTTGAAGAAGTAGGTATCGTTGATGTATCCGAAGAAGGGTACGGTGTAGGTCAGCATCCAGATATTCCCACCCCCGCAATCGTAATACGGTTTCGACCATCTGCCATCCTCGTATTTCACTGTCAAGATTTCGTCCTCCTCCCTTTCCGTGTGCACACTTTCGTTCAACGTATAAGTGTGGAATCCTGGAATAGAGCGACAGAGAGAAATCATTAAATAGGTCGAGTCTATTCTTCCCCGAAATTCAATTAAAGGATCTCCATCCTAATGACGACTTAATTAGTATGCTTAATTGATTGGCTTATGATTTAATGTGAAACAATTATGATTCTTCGTATACGTTAACACTAATTATTATGTAAATTAATCAATATCGTATCAGCATCAAAAATTAATTATGACATGTTTAATCAAAACTTAACCGCACTGTTTGGATGGAAATTGTATGTATTTCACCCAGAATATTCCTCCGACTAGACCAATTATTATTTATCATGATAGAGCAATTATCATGGTGACAATAATTAATTGTCATTTATCTGATTATCCGATATGAGAATAAAAAATGTATGCCTTAACATTAGAAAACATACGTGCACGTGCGTTTCCTTTGGACACGTTACGTTACTTGTTCTCACGCAATAGCGTAATTTCTCAAGATTTCTTTGTATTTCATGTAGATAATCTTCAGGTCAGACTCGAGTTACCTTTTCCTCCGGTATCTGAATTAATTTTCTCAAAACTATTTTTCCTTTATTTCTGCTCTCACGACCGTTCGCTGGGGCAACGTTTCCAGAAGTTAATCTCCAGAAATTCAACGATCCAGACGCCCAGCTCTCTGGAAATCCACTGTGTAAGGTTCCGAGTAAGGTCCCGGTAATTCAAGGATCTAACAATAAGTGCCTTGCACGTGTATCTCAGTATGTGCGGCGTGCACACTGCAGAGACAGTATTAAGGATTCGTATAAATATACGAGGCAGAAGCGGAAGGAGGTGCCGCGAGGAATCGTCTCCGAGTTCTCCGGCTAGATAAAGGAAACGAGCTTCGTCGTATCTGTTTTTCCGCCGACTTGCTACTCGCTTTTCCCACCTTGCCTCTCGCCACCGGCGTCGTCGTCGGTCACAGCGCCGTTTTCCCCCTACATGAAGAAATTGCTGAGCTTTATCGGCCATGATCCTCCCGAATGTGAGAAACGTTATTTGCCCAATTTTCGTCACGTCGTCGGGCTGTGCGATAATCGCTGTCGTTTCCGGCATCGTCGTTCGTGTAACATACCACATGGCCCACCCCGTAGCCTCCCTCAGTCTGTTCCACGCTATTCGTAAACGCAACTTTTCTTCCAACGTAGTAACATCTCGGGTTCAAACTCTCAGACGTACTATGCGTCTCGGATTAAGAGCACGAGGAAGCTTGCTGTCGTGGCGAACGGTAATAAAATTATGCAGCCTCGTAAATATTTATCAAGGCGGCTCGCATATACTTAAACCGGTAGGAATTAGAGCTGCCACTTAAGATAATTACGATAAATCTTCACGTTCTTTCAAGATCTTTTAAGTTGTCGTTATCTATATAAACTTCAAGTTAATGCTTGCAATCAGCCGTGATGGCTAACGACAAACACAACTGCGTCAGTTTATTTGTCATGTTTGAACACGTATGTATTGTACCTTTGAGAAAATTGTCGCTCCAAGTCGCGTTTTATTACAGACACAACATTTCGACATAAATATGGAGAGAAATAAGGGAATAGAGATAAAGTTAATATTGCTATTTATGAATGTAAAGTAAGAATGTTTCTCGCACAGCTTCTCTCATATATACATTTTATTTCACGCAACTTGTTCATGTTTTATCTAACCCGACTGTTCATATTTAGAGAAAGAACACCCGCATTTTATGACTCGCGTATGCCGCGCCCGAAACAAGATAAAGATATATGACCGGCGCGTGTGTCAACAGTTAAAATATCGTAAAAATATGACAGGAGACACACCGCTTGACAACATAAAATAAAAACGACACGTTGCTTACACTAGCTTAATTAAGCTTATGATAAATTGATAAGAGAACTGAAAAAGTTACTGAATAAAATAGCCGTGTATGAAGATAACCAAGCAAGAGAAACGCCCTTAATTAAGACGGCTTTAATCAAGACGCGTTTTTATTCTCGAGGCTGGCGAAAAATCGCGGAAGCCCTGATACGGCGCCAAGTCGTAACGCGTGTTCTCTCTCTCTCTCTCTTGCTCTGCTATTTCTCGTCCTTTACTTTTCATTTCTTTCCCTCGTTCCTGTCCGACCTGCAAGATCAAAATCCTAGCCTGATTTATTCGACGGTAATTCCTCCTTTAATACAGATCGTGAAACCTGTTTAGCAAACGTGCACGTCTATTAACCGCCGTTGCGACGATGGCAATCGTTCAGATATTTAATTCCTAAGTATCTCCGAATTTTTAATTTTTACACTATCTCAACGGTAATTAAAAATACCTGTCTTCAAGCCCGTTAAGCAGAATTTATTTCGCAAACTTGTTAAAGAGTCCCGTAGTTTAAGTACTTTCCGGCAATGGTAAGATATCCCCTAGAGAACTCCTCTTCATTTAACTTCGACAAATTACAATTCACGAATTCAGACAAATTTGATCTTATTTTCATTTCCGTACACGTTGGACACAAATCTCGGGAAAACTCATAAAATTTAATCAATATTTCTGTGGGAACACACACGCGTTATTGGAGACTCGAATTCTTACTCTCTGATCACTGAAAAGATTCAAAGACGATCGAACGTATAGTCGCAAAGGGCGGAGAGCAAAAACACCAAAAGATTTACTGACGTAGAAAAATATTCAATTTGATTTCAGGTCAGCTCCAGTGCCATTAAAGTCGGCAAAGACGGGGAAGATGGAAAAAGCAGAAGGGAAGCATTTTAAAGGAGCATCTAGGGAAAGAGTGGAATTAAATAAATAAAATTCTTTTACAGTGTATGTTATTCTAGATCGAATCACTTACTTTATGTCCTACGTGTCTCTTTACGATGTTAGCAATTCTTTACCACATTTCTCGAGTGCTTCATAAATGCACATAATATGCGAGAAACATACGTTATATCTCGCAACATTTTTCTCCAATATCCTGTCGGCAAAAAATAACTGATTGACGGTGGAGTACATTATTGGTTTCGCGGACTTTGCGTTACCGTCTACTCTTTTTACCTTTTTTTCTTTAAATTCCGTATTTTGGACTATCTAGATCCGCGTCCGCGAATCCTGAATTTGTTACATGCCGAGATATTTGATACTTAACATATTTACGAACTTGGATCTTTTGAATTTGACATTCTTGTGGCTATCCGCACGAGCTTGAATCCTTGGAATCTTGAATTTCCGATTTATATATCTTTACTGCGAAACTCGTGGACTTTTAGATATCTAATGTATCGTGAATCTCGAAGTCAGCAAGACAGATAGTATATAAAACTAAGTGTAATTAAATGTTACAGCGATAAGAAGATAGAGGTATGCTCCCATTAAGGGAATAATCTTTAAATTGAAGAGATAGAGAGCTACGAACAGAACTTGAAATATCTTATAATCTTTTAGACAAGGCTATAGCCTTAGGACGTTTATACCGTTCGATCCGGTCGTCTTAGCCATAGCAATAATAATTCGCTCATTATCGACGTGGAGAACGGCGCCGATATTTCGCGGACTGAGAAATACTATACTATGTCAGTTGACTACATTTGAATCGCGCTTAAAACTGCGTTAATGAAAAAAAAATCGTTCCGCCTTGCCGAGGCTTTTGTTTCATATTACCGATAATACGATATTTACTTTCACACGTCGTTAATAACGCATCGCTATTAATTTTGCAATTTGATAGCTGCTCTTTATTTGAGCGTAGAACACGCCGCGGCGTATTATCACAAATTTATCGTAATTTCACCAAAATTGCTTATATATATTTCATATGTTCTACGCGCATATTTGTACATAAAATATTACATTCGGAAATTTAAAAGAACACATATTCGTGGGATATGAATTATAACGCATTCGATGGCGTATTACCAGCTGATAAAATATATCGCCATAGGTATTGGCTTGTGTAAGTCTTTCCGTCTATTATAGCTCGCTGACAACATCGGTTTTGCTAAAGATATTTGGCGGCAATGGCGTGTGAGAGCTCCGTGGATCGGCCGTAATCGGTAGTGATTAAACGGGGATTCTTTCCCCGTCAGACATTCCCGTCGGGCTATAAAAAGGCCGTGGAAAGAGACTCTTCAAGAGTCCCCGAAGTCTTCGTTTCTCATCGTCGAACGCTGCTCGTCCAAGCATCGCCTATTGTTTGTTACGTTATCGAGCGCCTTTTGCGAGCTTTTATCCGCGTCACGAAACCCCAAAACACGACAAGAAACGGAGCCGGGGCTGTGTGCAGTTCTCGCACGTATGCATGCGATGGATATGCGTTCCCAGAGATTGTCTGAGACCCGCCGAGAATTCCTCTGAGCGTCCAGAGGGATGGATAGCACGGACGGAGAAGAGAGAGCGCAGGGGGAGTAACGTTTATACCTCTAATATAATTTTTAACGGCAATTTCGATGTAAAGGTTTTTTTTAGTAGACAGCAGGTGAATAAAACGTCAGGGGAGAAAACGCGTATGAATTATTCGCTATTTTTTCGCGTGCACCTGAATTTCGCTCGCCTAAATATATCCCTTTAACGCATTTATCATAATTTAACACGTTTCCTCCTTTTACCGTCGTTCGTACGAGTAAGTTCGTATAAAAATTGCTATATTTAAAATAAACCCGCCAAGCTTCGACGATAAATGCAGCGCGAATGCGGGGATTGTTAAGGCTATAATGGCTCGCGTTATCATGGCGTGTTTAGCGCTAAACGTGGCATATGATCGCGGTTTATTCGTTTACATCAAGATTTTAGGGAACATAAAGAGATTTAGACAACCCCATTCAATTACACGAACGAACGGGGAATGCGGATTAAGAGATAAAGCTGCTCTCCGATACAATAGGAAGGAATGATGAGACGAGAGGGAGCGGGAGGCAAACGAAAAAGACGCAACTTCGTCCGCGAAAGGGGCTTACGTTGTGAGGAGACCGTATTGTCTTTACACCCGAGAGAAATACTGCATAAGTAGATTTACTTCATAAGTAGATATTCT